CCCACACCAGTCCACTAACACCCAGGATGCGACCCACACCAGTCCACTAACACCCAGGATGTGACCCACACCAGTCCACTAACACCCAGGATGCCACCCACACCAGTCCACTAACACCCAGGTACCCATTTACTGATGGGTAAACATAGACAACAGGTGTAAAGAAACATGCCCAATATTTCTACCCTGGCTGGGAATCGAATATTTACCAAAAATCATATTTATTTATTTATTTATTTTATGTCTTTGCAAACAGTACATTGAGATTTTGTATTTACAATAGTGGGTTGCAATGCAAAGACAGCCTCTATTATATGGCTAGCCTAAGCCAGGTACTAGAAATAAGCCGCTTTGTTTGACTTTTTTGGGTTATCCTAAGTTCTCTACACATATGCTGCTATGTGTGATAATCTATAAAGAAAAAATAACTTTTTTGTTTGTTTTATGGTGCAGTACGAGTTGTATATCACAGTTAGCCCTGTAATATACTCCGTTTTCTCTAATACAGTGGACCCCCGGTTAACGATATTTTTTCATTCCAGAAGTATGTTCAGGTGCCAGTACTGACCGAATTTGTTCCCATAAGAAATATTGTGAAGTAGATTAGTCCATTTCAGACCCCCAAACATACATGTACAAACGCACTTACATAAATACACTTACATAATTGGTCACATTCGGAGGTAATCGTTATGCGGGGGTCCACTGTATAAGCCCACAAGACAGGGATAGGAGAATGGTATTTGTATCCCATATCCTCTTCATAACTCTGTCAAACTACTCGGTATTATGCTAAATATTATTCATTCTGGAGTATTTAACATGTTTTATGTTATTATATTGTTTATTATGTCATATTAGATCAATTGTGATAGGCAAATAAGCTGTAGTGTTGATATTAGCGTAATAATAAAGCATATTCCCCTGCATCACGAGACTGAGCTCAAAGCAACCGACAGTGGCTTCAAAGTTACCTTATCGTTAATGGATAATGTACTATGTAGGTGGTTTACATAATGAGAAGCATTTCTTTTATTCATTGGAACCATGGCTAGGGCTAAAAGCAGGTTAAAACAAAAAAATTGGACAAAAAGAAATTGGAACGACTTATGCATCAAGTAGTGCCACCAATCAGTACCAGCAGGTTGGTGTGACGACCCTGGAAATTTGAAATTATGCTAGCCGAAATTAGTGCCGAATGACTGATGGAACCGGATGTCTGATTGCCGGATTTGTGATGGTGGACCTGTATCATCAAACTGTTGAATAAAAACACATGTAACACTTACAACACTTACAACACTTACAACACTTATTAGAAAACTTATTTTTACTAAACTGCCTCTCAGCAGACATAAGATTCCTGATTGTCTTCAAGACCCCTGGTTGTCTTAAAGACCCCTGGTTGTCTTCAAGACCCCTGGTTGTCTTAAAGACCCCTGGTTGTCTTCAAGACCCCCTGGTTGTCTTCAAGACCCCCTGGTTGTCTTCAAGACCCCCTGGTTGTCTTCAAGACCCCTGGTTGTCTTCAAGACCCCCTGGTTGTCTTCAAGACCCCTGGTTGTCTTAAGAATATTCTCCAGTGATGCTTCACTGGAGAATATTCCACTTCACTATCACTACTGGAACTGGTTTCAAGACCTTGTAGTTCATATTCACTATTACTATCATCACCAATGCTCACATCTGAGTCCGGGATTTGGGAAAATAGGAGTTTCCTCTTTGATTCTGGTACAACTGAACGTGAACAAGACGGCCCAGCAGCAGAGGTGGAAGGCTGAGGGTCGTCTGGGTTTTCCTCACTATTACCGATATTATGGTCATTAGTTTCGGTCACAACCTCACCAAAACCTTGAAACTCATCTTCACTGGCACTTCCATCTGTATTAGAACTGTCACTGGGGAACAAAAGTGTCCCAATTCGCCGAGGAGTGAGGAGCTTCTTACCGAGAGGAATGGTGAACAAGGTCTACTAAAATGGCGTTCACACAATGCGCCAATGGGTCCCAGATTTTTTTTCTACCATGCACACTGACCACACACACCTATTCTCTCACATCTATGCCTACCAGCCTTTTCCCACGAGATTTGAAGGCACTAGAGTTTATGCATACTAGTACGTCAAAAACCCTGGTGCATAAGCCGTACTAGTACAGCTGAAACCCTGAAAGGGTTAAGTGAACAATATAGCCAGGACTAAAAAAATGCATATACAGTACACACATTACTTACCTTAAAATATTTTCATCCTTAGCTTATAGTGAGTAGGGAATATATTTATTGTAGGAAGTCTGAATAAATGAAGAATGGCTATAACTGAAAACCGCTGGATTAGCGAAACACCGTAAAGTTAAGTGCTGTAAAGAGGGGCCCCTCTAGTGCATGGGTGTGAGGCATGGTGTTTAAACACTGCAGCAAGGGGGGTAGAGGCACTGATGTCATACCAGAGTACAGTAGTAGCAAGACTGAAGTCAGGTTGAGACATCAAGTTACAGGTGACAATAACACAGTATCATCTACCAGGATCTGCTCTCCATCCTCAACTCTGAAAGACAGGTACAATCAACAACTAATATTATATTATCCACTACTTTAGAAAAAAATAGTGGTAGGGAAGAGAAGGCACAACAAAATCCCAATAAACTAAAATAAATACAGTACAACATTATACAGTGGACCCCCGCTTAACGATCACCTCCAAATGCGACCAATTATGTAAGTGTATTTATGTAAGTGCGTTTGTACGTGTATGTTTGGGGGTCTGAAATGGACTAATCTACTTCACAATATTCCTTATGGGAAAAAATTCGGTCAGTACTGGCACCTGAACATACTACTGGAATGAAAAAAGTTCGTTAACCGGGGGTCCACTGTATATGTTTAACCCTTTCAGGGTCCGTGCCGTAGATCTATGGCTTTACGTTCAGGGTCCAAACCATAGATCTACGCCATGAGCTCAGCTCACTCTGATAAGCTGTGAGTGGTAAATTTGGGCCTAGATATGAGAGAATACATCTGTAGTATGTGTGCATCACATAAAACAAATCCTGCAGCATACAGTGTATAATGAGAGAAAAAAAACTGAGACAGTGATTTTCGATTAAAACAGAGACTTTGCAGTGTTTTTTGTATGTTTTTATAGTTGTATTTGCAATTTCTTGGTCTCACTTGATAGAATGGAAGACATATTACAGAAATAAAGATGATTTTGATTGGTTTTAGCACTGGAAATGGCTTGAAACTGAGCTCAAAGTAGCAGAAATGCTAAATTTTTGTCTATGTTCAAGAGTAAACAAACGACCTCACACGTCTAATACACACCAGCTGGTGGGTCTAATATATGTTCACAAATATGGTGATAATATTTATACAATTATTACAATATTGCATAACAGTAAATCTTCTATTTTTTGGTTTGAATAAAAATTCATTATGTGAATAAAAAATTAAAATGGAATTAATTTGTAAAGCCTCAAAACGTAACTAATGAACAGAGGAAATGTTAGTTTAGTGCCAGGAATGCCTACATTGTTTACTCTGGACCCTATTTTGAAATTGGAATATTTTGAACTTTGTGTTAAATTGGCCAAATTATCAATTTCTGATCACTTTATTTTGTAGTTGAAACAGTTGACTTGGCGATTTCTTGTGTTCAATCGATAGAATAGAAGTAATACTAGTGAAATAGCTAAGAATTTGGTCGACTGGAATAATGTAAAATGGGAGTCAAAGTTGGCAAAATCGCCGATTTGTAAATATCGCTGACACTTCAAAACTCGCGAGAGCATAATTTCGTCAATTTTCCATCAAATTTCGTACTTTTTGTTTTATTACTTTCAGAAAAAAACTCTACCATTTCATAAGAAAAAATAACAAAAATTTTTTTTTTTAAATTCTTGGACCCTGATGCACACTTTGAAATTTGGTCTCTGGACCCTGAAAGGGTTAATATATATGAATGGAGGAGAAACGTCATTCATTTTCCAGGATAAAATAAGCAAAAATGCTTTTAATGAATATTATGGTAAATTAATGGCTACATCAGCACTAATACAAACTTAATACAGGTCAGTCATCGCTAATCCGGCAATCAGTTATTTGGTTCCATCAGTAATCCGGGTATTAATTTTGGCTAGCATAATTTCAAATTTCGTCATTATACTAAAATTTCATCTGGTGGCCTGGTGGTTAACGCTCTGGCTTCACACGGCGAGGGTCGGGGTTCGATTCCCAGCCAGAGTAGAAACATTGGACGTGTTTCTTTCCACCTGTTGTCTATGTTCCCCATCAGTAAAATGGGTACCTGGGTGTTAGTCGACTGGTGTGGGTCGCATCCTGGGACACTGACCTAAGGAGGCCTGGTCACAGACCGGGCCGCGGGGGCGTTGACCCCCGGAACTCTCTCCAGATAAACTCCAGATACTGACTCAGAAATTGTGCATATTGTTGTAAATTCACAGCAGCAAGCCAGTGGAGGAGAAAGCAGTGATGAAAATGAGAAAGATGTAGCAGAAAGTCTCTAATGATAGGTTAATTAAGTGTATTCTAACCTAACCACTCTAAATAACAGTGTGACTTTGTAAATGGTCCAAAGTCGGACCGAAACGTCGTCGTAAGCTTCTCTCTTTTATGTGCGGTTTATTTGTGTAACTAACCACTCTGTAATCCAGCAAACTCACTAATCCGGCACACTACAGGTCCCAATGATGCCGAATTAGTGATGGCCAACCTGTATCTGTAATAATGTACGTAGTAGAACCCCCCATATCCACATTCAATTTCCAGTTTCAGTTATCCATGATTTACTGTTGGCTGAACATAATCGTAAATTTTGCTTAAAATGACACTAAAGCACAACAGTAGTAATGACGGAAGTTTTTCAAAGCCTAAGAGAAGCCAAGAAGTTTTTCTCATTAATAAAAAAAGTACTAATTCTTGACTTATTATGCATAATTTACCAATTAAACTTTATCATGGGTATGTATGAAAACAAAAGCAGTATATATACATACATGTACACCTACCATCCGACTTACGACCGAGTTCAGTTCTGAGAAACCGGTGGTAAGTCGAACTTTACTACTGAATATCAACAAAACATTTTTGTAATGACTTTATTTTATTGTTTTATTTTGGTATTTCATGTTTTACTTTACTTTTTATGTTGTTAGTACTGTATTTTATACTGTAAGGTTTAGGATAAACACTGTATACAACACAATTACTTGTTTATTTCCAAGAAATTTGGCATAAAAAACACGGTCGTAAGTCGGATGGTAGGTGTATATGGTTTGCTACTGTCTAGGACTCCAATGGAATTAAGTCACTTTCTGACTTTTATGGGTTATCCCAAGTTCTCTACACATATGCTGCTATGTATGATAATCTCTGTAACTATGTATACCTGAATAAACTTACTAATCCACAGTTTCGGGTATCCACAGCAGGTCTTGGAAGGTATACCCAGCAGATACCAGGACTTCTGTATTAACGTTTATACTATAACAAGTTAGCAACACACAATAACTCTTCTATAACACTTGAGGAACATTATAGATGTATAGCATTATAGACGTATAACATTATAGATGTATAACATTATAGATATATAACATTATAGATGTATAACATTATAGATGTATAACATTATACATGTATAACATTATAGATGTATAACATTATAGATGTATAACATTATACATGTATAACATTATAGATGTATAACATTATAGATATATAACATTATAGATATATAACATTATAGATATATAACATTATAGATGTATAACATTATAGATGTATAACAGGAATGAATTAACTGCAGGTAAGATCAAACCCGAACAACAACTTGTTATAACTACCAAACCATCGAGGTTCTGATGGATATGTGGGTGTGCGAGGTGCTAACAACAAGACCATAATCGATCAGGCAGTCATAAAAGCCTGGCCTCAGGTAGAGCAGTGATGGTAGAGCATTCAGAACTCATAACAGCTTCTTCCTGACACTGGACTTTCACTCTCCACGTGTGAGGTTCGGCTGCACATACATCTGTCAAGAAATTATATATGAACAAACATTTCTAAACACACATACAGCAGAGCCCTGCATTTTCGGCGCCTCGTTTTTGGCGTCCCACTAATTGGGGACATTGAGTCATTGTTCATTATGCTCGGTGCTTTTACTGCTCTTTTTGTTGTTTTTGCACAACAGTTGCATATTGGAAGAGCAACTGGCACCATATTTAAAGGTAAGTATTGTATGTACTGTGTACTTGACTCACAAAATCATTATGGCACGATTGCAAACAAGCTATACCATGGGTGGGGTTAGAACCCATGATCAGTGTCTCAAAACTCTCAAGGCTCTCTGATTGCGGGTTCTAACCCCACCCGTGGTATGGTTAATGTACTGTGTATTTATTTTGCTTTTTTATCATTTGATTCAGCACTCGCTGGCAAGTTTTGCTAATCAGTGTGGGTGAGGAAGCTCAAAGCCTTAAATTATTATTATTATTAAAATCATGAGGGAGCTCTAAACCCGTAGGATTTAGTGTATGTGGGGGGGAAGGTATTCAGGCTCAATTCAGGGAACTGAAGCCCAGATCGAATTCCCTAAATTAAGAGACCCTCACCAGCATCAAGGAACCTCCCTTGAGGGGTAAGAGCCGTAAAAACGAGGCTTTATTAACATTTCTTGCTGGAAATAAATAGAAGTTACACAGAGGTTTACATTTGCTAACAGTTCTGATAAATTTATGGTAAAAAACAATAGATAGGCACAGAATAAACTTCCATATCACTTAACCCTTTCAGGGTTTCGGCCGTACTAGTACAGCTTACGCACCAGGGTTTTTGACGTACTAGTATGCCTAAATTCTAGCGCCCTCAAATCTAGTGAGAGAAAGCTGGTAGGCCTACATATGAAAGAATGGGTCTATGTGGTCAGTGTGCGAAGTATAAAAAAATCCTGATGCCTTGGACTCATGATGGGCTCTCTGACCAGAATTTATATGTAAATAATGTACAGTGGACCCCCGCATAACAATTACCTCCGAATGCGACCAATTATGTAAGTGTATTTAAGTAAGTGCGTTTGTACGTGTATGTTTGGGGGTCTGAAATGGACTAATCTACTTCACAATATTTCTTATGGGAACAAATTCGGTCAGTACTGGCACCTGAACATACTTCAGGAGTGAAAAAATATTGTTAACCGGGGGTCCACTGTTTAATACAATATACAGTACACTACTGTATAAACATTTAAAAATGTACCAGAAATGTTATAAACAGTGCAAAGGTGACATTAAAACAATATCAAAGATGGTTGACACAAATCCACTATAATTATAGTATGCTCCTCACTTAGTGACGAATTCGTTTAACGACGTGGTCTTAGGAACGGAACTCCGTTGCTAAATGAGGAGAGGCTGTATTGTAATAAACAGAATAGAGGAAATCAGCTCTAGCTGGCTAACACTCCCTACCCTGGGTTATCCTAGCTGGCTAACACTCCCTACCCTGGGTTATTCTGGCTGGCTAACACTCCCTACCCTGGGTTATCCTAGCTGGCTAACACTCCCTACCCTGGGTTATTCTGGTTGGCTAACACTCCCTACCCTGGGTTATCCTAGCTGGCTAACACTCCCTACCCTGGGTTATCCTGGCTGGCTAACACTCCCTACCCTGAGTTATCCTAGCTGGCTAACACTCCCTACCCTGGGTTATCCTGGCTGGCTAACACTCCCTACCCTGGGTTATCCTGGCTGGCTAACACTCCCTACCCTGGGTTATCCTAACTGGCTAACACTCCCTACCCTGGGTTATCCTGGCTGGCTAACACTCCCTACCCTGGGTTATCCTAGCTGGCTAACACTCCCTACCCTGGGTTATCCTAGCTGGCTAACACACCCTACCCTGGGTTATCCTGGCTGGCTAACACTCCCTACCCTGGGTTATCCTAGCTGGCTAACACTCCCTACCCTGGGTTATCCTAGCTGGCTAACACTCCCTACCCTGGGTTATCCTAGCTGGCTAACACTCCCTACCCTGGGTTATCCTGGCTGGCTAACACTCCCTACCCTGGGTTATCCTAGCTGGCTAACACACCCTACCCTGGGTTATCCTAGCTGGCTAACACTCCCTACCCTGGGTTATCCTAGCTGGCTAACACTCCCTACCCTGGGTTATCCTAGCTGGCTAACACTCCCTACCATGGGTTATCCTGGCTGGCTAACACTCCCTACCCTGGGTTATCCTAGCTGGCTAACACTCCCTACCCTGGGTTATCCTAGCTGGCTAACACTCCCTACCCTAGGTTATCCTAGCTGGCTAACACTTCCTACCCTGGGTTATACTAGCTGGCTAACACACCCTACCCTGGGTTATCCTGGATGGCTAACACTCCCTACCCTGGGTTATCCTAGCTGGCTAACACTCCCTACACTGGGTTATCCTAGCTGGCTAACACTCCCTACCCTGGGTTATCCTAGCTGGCTAACACTCCCTACCCTGGGTTATCCTAGCTGGCTAACACTCCCTACCCTGGGTTATCCTAGCTGGCTAACACACCCTACCCTGGGTTATCCTGGATGGCTAACACTCCCTACCCTGGGTTATCCTGGCTGGTTAACACTCCCTACCCTGGGTTATTCTGGCTGGCTAACACTCCCTACCCTGGGTTATCCTAGCTGGCTAACACTCCCTACCCTGGGTTATCCTAGCTGGCTAACACTCCCTACCCTGGGTTATATTAGCTGGCTAACACTCCCTACCCTGGGTTATCCTAGCTGGCTAACACCCTACCCTGGGTTATCCTGGATGGCTAATACTCCCTACCCTGGGTTATCCTGGCTGGCTAACACACCCTACCCTGGGTTATCCTGGATGGCTAACACTCCCTACCTTGGGTTATCCTGGCTGGCTAACACTCCCTACCCTGGATTATTCTGGCTGGCTAACACTCCCTACCCTGGGTTATCCTAGCTGGCTAACACTCCCTACCCTGGGTTATCCTAGCTGGCTAACACTCCCTACCCTGGGTTATCCTAGCTGGCTAACACTCCCTACCCTGGGTTATCCTAGCTGGCTAACACTCCCTACCCTGGGTTATCCTAGCTGGCTAACACACCCTACCCTGGGTTATCCTGGATGGCTAACACTCCCTACCCTGGGTTATCCTGGCTGGCTAACACTCCCTACCCTGGGTTATTCTGGCTGGCTAACACTCCCTACCTTGGATTATCCTAGCTGGCTAACACTCCCTACCCTGGGTTATCCTAGCTGGCTAACACTCCCTACCCTGGGTTATATTAGCTGGCTAACACTCCCTACCCTGGGTTATCCTAGCTGGCTAACACCCTACCCTGGGTTATCCTGGATGGCTAACACTCCCTACCCTGGGTTATCCTGGCTGGCTAACACACCCTACCCTGGGTTATCCTGGATGGCTAACACTCCCTACCTTGGGTTATCCTGGCTGGCTAACACTCCCTACCCTGGATTATTCTGGCTGGCTAACACTCCCTACCCTGGGTTATCCTAGCTGGCTAACACTCCCTACCCTGGGTTATCCTAGCTGGCTAACACCCTACCCTGGGTTATCCTGGATGGCTAACACTCCCTACCCTGGGTTATCCTGGCTGGCTAACACACCCTACCCTGGGTTATCCTGGATTGCTAACACTCCCTACCTTGGGTTATCCTGGCTGGCTAACACTCCCTACCCTGGATTATTCTGGCTGGCTAACACTCCCTACCCTGGGTTATCCTAGCTGGCTAACACTCCCTACCCTGGGTTATCCTAGCTGGCTAACACCCTACCCTGGGTTATCCTGGATGGCTAACACTCCCTACCCTGGGTTATCCTGGCTGGCTAACATTCCCTACCCTGGGTTATCCTAGCTGGCTAACACTCCCTACCCCAATGTCTATTTCTCACAGTTCTTCTACTTAGTTGGGTATATCAGAGCCACTGACAGCAACACCTGGAGTATCGAGTCCGGTTTCTCGATGGTACCAGAAAAAAATTGTTGCTCAAGGCTGGACAATGAGAGAAAAGGAACATAAGATCCTTTGTAAATAGAGAAAGAAACTTGAAGTTGCCAATTAGATCCGGTGGACGCCCTTGCCAAACCTCAGCAGAGAGGGACCCCCTTGCCAAACCTCAGCAGAGAGGGACCCCCTTGCCAAACCTAAGCAGAGAGGGACCCCCTTGCCAAACCTCAGCAGAGAGGGACACCCTTGCCAAGCCTCAGCAGAGAGGGACACCCTTCCCAAGCCTCAGCAGAGGGACACCCTTGCCAAGCCTCAGCAGAGAGGGACACCCTTGCTAAGCCTCAGCAGAGAGGGACACCCTTGCCAAGCCCCAGCAGAGAGGGACACCATTGCCAAGCCTCAGCAGAGAGGGACACCCTTGCTAAGCCTCAGCAGAGAGGGACACCCTTGCCAAGCCCCAGCAGAGAGGGACACCGTTGCCAAGCCTCAGCAGAGAGGGACACCCTTGCCAAGCCTTAGCAGAGAGGGACACCGTTGCCAAGCCTCAGCAGAGAGGGACACCCTTGCCAAGCTTCAGCAGAGAGGGACACCCTTGCCAAGCCTTAGCAGAGAGGGACACCCTTGCCAAGCCCAGTAGAGAGGGACACCCTTGCCAAGCCTCAGCAGAGAGGGACACCCTTGCCAAGCCCCAGCAGAGGGACACCCTTACCAAGCCCCAGCAGAGAGGGACACCCTTGCCAAGCCTCAGCAGAGAGGGATACCCTTGCCAAGCCCCAGCAGAGAGGGACACCCTTGCCAAGCCCCAGCAGAGAGGGACACCCTTGCCAAGCCTCAGCAGAAAGGGACACCCTTGCCAAGCCTAAGCAGAAAGGGACACCCTTGCCAAGCCTCAGCAGAGACACCCTTGCCTAGCCCCAGAAGAGAGGGACACCCTTACCAAGTCCCAGCAGAGAGGGACACCCTTGACAAGCCTCAGCAGAGAGGGACACCCTTGTCTAGCCCCAGCAGAGGGACACCCTTACCAAGCCCCAGCAGAGAGGGACACCCTTGCCAAGCCTCAGCAGAGAGGGACACCCTTGCCAAGCCCCAGCAGAGGGACACCCTTACCAAGGCCCGGCAGAGGGACACCCTTGCCAAGCCCAAGCAGAGAGGGACACCCTTGCCTAGCCCCAGCAGAGAGGGTCACCCTTGCCAAGCCTCAGCAGAGGGGGACACCCTTGTCGAGCCCTAGCAGAAAGGGACACCCTTGCCTAGCCCCAGCAGAGAGGGACACCCTTGCCAAACCCCAGCAGAGGGACACCCTTGCCAAGCCCCAGCAGAGAGGGACACCCTTGCCAAGCCCTAGGAGAGAGGGACACCCTTGCCAAGCCCCAGCAGAGAGGGACACCCTTGCCTAGCCCCAGCAGAGAGGGACACCCTTGCCAAGCCCCAGCAGAGAGGGACACCCTTACCAAGCCCCAGCAGAGAGGGACACCCTTGCCATGCCTCAGCAGAGAGGGACACCCTTGCCAAGCCTCAGCAGAGAGGGACACCCTTGCCTAGCCCCAGAAGAGAGGGACACCCTTGCCAAGCCCCAGCAGAGAGGGACACCCTTGCCAAGCCCCAGCAGAGGGACACCCTTACCTAGCCCCAGAAGAGAGGGACACCCTTGCCAAGCCCTAGCAGAGAGGAACACCCTTGCCAAGCCCTAGCACAGAGACACCCTTGCCAAGCCTCAGCAGAGAGGGACACCCTTGCCAAGCCCCAGCAGAGAGGGACACCCTTGACAAGCTCTAGCAGAGAGAGACACCCTTGCCAAGCCCCAGCAGAGAGGGACACCCTTGACAAGCTCTAGCAGAGAGAGACACCCTTGCCAAGCCTCAGCACAGAGGGACACCCTTGCCAAGCCCTAGCAGAGAGGGACATCCTTGCCAAGCCCTAGCAGAGAGGGACACCTTTGCCAAGCCTCAGCAGAGAGGGATACCCTTGCCAAGCCCCAGCAGAGAGGGATACCCTTGCCAAGCCCCAGCAGAGAGGGACACCCTTGCCAAGCCTCAACAGAGGGACACCCTTGCCAAGCCTCAGCAGAGAGGGACACCTTTGCCAAGCCCCAGCAGAGAGGGACACCGTTGCCAAGCCTCAGCAGAGAGGGACACCCTTGCCAAGCCCCAGCAGACAGGGACACCCATGCCAAGCCTCAGCAGAGAGAGACACCCTTGCCAAGCCTCAGCAGAGAGTTACACCTTTGCCAAGCCCCAGCAGAGAGAGACACCCTTGCCAAGCCTCAGCAGAGAGGGACACCCTTGCCAAGCCCCAGGAGACAGGGACACCTTTGCCAAGCCCCAGCAGAGAGGGACACCCTTGCCAAGCCTCAGCAGAGAGGGACACCCTTGCCAAGCCCCAGCAGAGAAGGACACCCTTACCAAGCCCCAGCAGATAGGGACGCCCTTGCCAAGCCCCAGCAGAGAGGGACACCCTTGCCAAGCCCCAGCAGAGGGGGACACCCTTGCCAAGCCCCAGCAGAGATGGACACCCTTGCCAAGCCCCAGCAGAGAGGGACACCCATGCCACGCCCCAGCAGAGAGGGACACCCATGCCAAGCCCCAGCAGGACACTCTTACCAAGCCTCAGCAGAGAGGGACACCCTTGCCAAGCCTCAGCAGAGAGGGACACCCTTGCCTAGCCCCAGCAGAGAGGGACACCCCTACCAAGCCCCAGCAGAGAGGGACACCCTTGCCAAACCTCAGCAGAGGGACACCCTTGCCTAGCCCCAGCAGAGAGGGACACCCATGCCAAGCCCCAGCAGGACACTCTTACCAAGCCTCAGCAGAGAGGGACACCCTTGCAGCCCAGCAGAGAGGGAACACACCGCTTGCCAAGCCTCAGCAGAGAGGGACACCCTTGCCAAGCCCCAGCAGAGAGGGACACCCCTACCAAGCCCCAGCAGAGAGGGACACCCTTGCCAAGCCCCAGCAGAGAGGGACACCCTTGCCTAGCCCCAGCAGAGAGGGACACCCTTGCCTAGCCCCAGCAGAGAGGGACACCCTTGCCTAGCCCCAGCAGAGAGGGACACCCTTGCCTAGCCCCAGCAGAGAGGGACACCCTTGCCTAGCCCCAGCAGAGAGGGACACCCTTGCCTAGCCCCAGCAGAGAGGGACACCCTTGCCTAGCCCCAGCAGAGAGGGACACCCTTGCCTAGCCCCAGCAGAGAGAGACACCCTTGCCTAGCCCCAGCAGAGGGACACCCTTGCCTAGCCCCAGCAGAGAGGGACACCCTTGCCAAGCCCCAGCAGAGAGGGACGTCCACACCTGACACAGTCTGAGGCACAAGTCCATTATTCCCAGTGTTTGTTGTTGGTGTTTAGGGCCTCCGTCACCACCGCCGTACCTGACCCTCTGATCTCCTGCACAAGACTTTATTTAGGCTTTTGGTATATAATATAACATTATTTTTGTCCAGTAGGCTTAGGAGACACAGATAGTATTGGTATATATGAGTATGTTTCGTTTATTTACCCCAGGATGTTACAGTAAAGTTAAATTATGGGATTTATTTCTCTTGTGGGTCCTGAGTCTGTTCAGTTAGGACAAATATCCTTCAGATCAAAACAAAATGTTGAAAGAATCTCTAAAATTTAATGAAAAGTGTCACTTGCAGATAGATAAGGACTAACTTTCACCTTCCCTTACCTACACTCTGACACAGCCAGAGGTCCACACTGCACTTCTGACAGAATGAAACATGTCAGTGGCCTGGTGGCTAAACCTCCCACTTCACACAAGGACGGCCCGGGTTCGATTCCCGGCGGGTGGAAACATTTCGACACGTTTCCTTACACCTATTGTCCTGTTCTCCTAGCAGCAAATAGGTACCTGGGTGTTAGTTGACTGGTGTGGGTCGCATCCTGGAGGACAAGATTGAAGGACAACAGTGGAAATAAGACAGTCCTCGATAACCCACTGATTTTCATGGGTTATACTGGGTGGCTAACCCTCCAGAGCTAAAAATCCGAATAAATCTTCTCTTCCTTTTAGGAAAGTAGAGGATGTCTCAACAACTCCATTGCTAAGTCTTTGGCACAACTCATAGGCTTTACCCACTTCCACTAGGGGGCCCAACCCATCTATCATCATACCTCCTACTGATGCATCATTCTCATTCCTCTGAATGAAACTGCTAAAGGCCCTGGTGGAAGGTTGGTAGTGCACTCCGCTCACACACTGAGGTCCGTGGTTAGATCTCCGGTATAGGTGGAAATATTAAGGCGAGTTTCCTTAAAACACCTGCTGTCCATGTTCGCCTAGAAATTAGTACGTACCTGGGTGTTAGTGGACTGGTGTGGGTCACATCCTGGGTGTTAGTGGACTGGTGTGGGTCACATCCTGGGTGTTAGTGGACTGGTGTGGGTCACATCCTGGGTGTTAGTGGACTGGTGTGGGTCACATCCTGGGTGTTAGTGGACTGGTGTGGGTCACATCCTGGGTGTTAGTGGACTGGTGTGGGTCACATCCTGGGTGTTAGTGGACTAGTGTGGGTCACATCCTGGGTGTTAGTGGACTGGTGTGGGTCACATCCTGGGTGTTAGTGGACTGGTGTGGGTCGCATCCTGGGTGTTAGTGGACTGGTGTGGGTCACATCCTGGGTGTTACTGGACTGGTGTGGGTCACGTCCTGGGTGTTAGTGGACTAGTGTGGGTCACATCCTGGGTGTTAGGGGACTGGTGTGGGTCACATCCTGGGTGTTAGTGGACTGGTGTGGGTCACATCCTGGGTGTTAGTGGACTGGTGTGGGTCACATCCTGGGTGTTAGTGGACTGGTGAGGGTCACATCCTGGGTGTTAGTGGACTGGTGTGGGTCACATCCTGGGTGTTAGTGGACTGGTGTGGGTCACATCCTGGGTGTTAGTGGACTGGTGTGGGTCACATCCTGGGTGTTAGTGAACTGGTGTGGGTCACATCCTGGGTGTTAATGGACTGGTGTGGGTCACATCCTGGGTGTTAGTGAACTGGTGTGGGTCACATCCTGGGTGTTAATGGACTGGTCTGGGTCACATCCTGGGTGTTAGTGAACTGGTGTGGGTCGCATCCTGGGACAAAACTGACCTAATTTACGGGAAATGCTCAGCATAAAAAGGGACTTTCTATATAGTAGTATGTCACTGATGTCAGCTATGGTCTGTATACCTTGTACATGTACTTGTATACCTTGTACATGTACTTCTATACCTTGTACATGTACTTGTATACCTTGTACATGTACTTGTATACCTTGTACATGTACTTGTATACCTTGTACGTGTACTTGTATACCTTGTACATGTACTTGTATACCTTGTACATGTACTTGTATACCTTGTACGTGTACTTGTATACCTTGTACATGTACTTGTATACCTTGTACATGTACTTGTATACCTTGTACATGTACTTGTATACCTTGTACGTGTACTTGTATACCTTGTACATGTACTAGTATACCTTGTACATGTACTAGTATACCTTGTACATGTACTAGTATACCTTGTACATGTACTTGTATACCTTGTACATGTACTTGTATACCTTGTACATGTACTTGTATACCTTGTACATGTACTTGTATACCTTGTACATGTACTTGTATACCTTGTACATGTACTTGTATACCTTGTACATGTACTTGTATACCTTGTACATGTACTTGTATACCTTGTACATGTACTTGTATACCTTGTACATGTACTTGTATACCTTGTACGTGTACTTGTATACCTTGTACATGTACTTGTATACCTTGTACATGTACTTGTATACCTTGTACATGTACTTGTGTACCTTGTACATTTACTTGTGTACCTTGTACATGTACTTGTATACCTTGTACATGTGCTTGTATACCTTGTACATGTACTTGTATACCTTGTACATGTACTTGTATACCTTGTACATGTACTTGTATACCTTGTACATGTACTTGTATACCTTGTACATGTACTTGTATACCTTGTACATGTACTTGTATACCTTGTACATGTACTTGTATACCTTGTACATGTACTTGTATACCTTGTACATGTACTTGCATACCTTGTACATGTACTTGTATACCTTGTACATGTACTTGTATACCTTGTACTTGTATACCTTGTACATGTACTTGTATACCTTGTACATGTACTTGTATACCTTGTACATGTACTTGTATACCTTGTACATGTACTTGTATACCTTGTACATGTACTTGTATACCTTGTACATGTACTTGTATACCTTGTACATGTACTTGTATACCTTGTACGTGTACTTGTATACCTTGTACATGTACTTGTATACCTTGTACATGTACTTGTATACCTTGTACATGTACTTGTATACCTTGTACATGTACTTGTATACCTTGTACGTGTACTTGTATACCTTGTACATGTACTTGTATACCTTGTACATGTACTTGTATACCTTGTACATGTACTTGTATACCTTGTACATGTACTTGTATACCTTGTACATGTACTTGTATACCTTGTACATGTACTTGTATACCTTGTACATGTACTTGTATACCTTGTACATGTACTTGCATACCTTGTACATGAACTTGTATACCTTGTACATGTACTTGTATACCTTGTACATGTACTTGTATACCTTGTACATGTACTTGTATACCTTGTACATGTACTTGTATACCTTGTACATGTACTTGTATACCTTGTACATGTACTTGCATACCTTGTACATGTACTTGTATACCTTGTACATGTACTTGGATACCTTGTACATGTACTTGTATACCTTGTACATGTACTTGTATACCTTGTACATGTACTTGTATACCTTGTACATGTACTTGTATACCTTGTACATGTACTTGTATACCTTGTACATGTACTTGTATACCTTGTACATGTACTTGTATACCTTGTACATGTACTTGGATACCTTGTACATGTACTTGTATACCTTGTACATGTACTTGTATACCTTGTACATGTACTTGTATACCTTGTACATGTACTTGTATACCTTGTACATGTACTTGTATACCTTGTACATGTACTTGTATACCTTGTACATGTACTTGTATACCTTGTACATGTACTTGTATACCTTGTACATGTACTTGTATACCTTGTACATGTACTTGTAGTAATAAAGCCTATTCCTATTTATATTTTATTATTATCATCACGTTTGTATTACATTCCTTACAGTTTTATATATATACCCAACTTGAGTTAGTGACCGGCTACACCGTTAAGCCGTGGACTATCCTCAGGTTATAATTATATTAAGGTTGTGTAAGTGATAGATGCCATTTAATTTAAGGATTTAGAGCTACCCTCTCTTTCCTTGGATCAGATATTATTATATACCATTACCCTGGTCGTGTATGGTTACGTTGGGTTTAGCGCTTTCCGGCGAACAGGATAGCAATGTTGGGTTGTTGTGCCGTTATTGAACCCGACGTCAGTCGTGAACCCTGTCCCAGAGTCTGGGTTCCACTGGAGCTGACTTGTGAGTTCATTACCTTGTACCTAGTTCAGCCATCAAAACTTTGGAGCCCGGTCCCTGGACCCATTGTGTACCTCTGTAATCTGTAAATACCTTGTAACTTGTCATGATTGTGACTAGACCTACCTGGAGTTCATTACCTTTGTAAATTGTGAGTTCATTACCTTTGTAAATTGTGAATTCATTACCTCTGTAACTTGCTCAGCTATCAAAACTTTGAGGCCCAGTCCCTGGACCCATTATGTACCTCTGTAATCTTTTGACTACCGCCCACTGGATGGGTATGGGGTGCATAATAAACATATTAAACTAACTAACACTGGAGCTGAGAGCTGAGATCTCTGTTATAACACTAGTTACAACTCTCAGACGTCACCAGTGGTGCTGAGAGCTGAGATCTCTGTTATAAGACTAGTTACAACTCTCAGACGTCACCAGTGGTGCTGAGAGAGCTGAGATCTCTGTTATAACACTAGTTACAACTCTCAGACGTCACCAGTGGTGCTGAGAGAGCTGAGATCTCTGTTATAACACTAGTTACAACTCTCAGACGTCACCAGTGGTGCTGAGAGCTGAGATCTCTGTTATAACACTAGTTACAACTCTCAGACGTCACCAGTGGTGCTGAGAGAGCTGAGATCTCTGTTATAACACTAGTTACAACTCTCAGACGTCACCAGTGGTGCTGAGAGCTGAGATCTCTGTTATAACACTAGTTACAACTCTCAGACGTCACCAGTGGTGCTGAGAGAGCTGAGATCTCTGTTATAACACTAGTTACAACTCTCAGACGTCAGCACTGGTGCTGAGAGAGCTGAGATCTCTGTTATAACACTAGTTACAACTCTCAGACGTCAGCACTGGTGCTGAG